TCTACTAAACATTGACTTTTAAATTATTTGGGCAGCGGGGTGTGCCTTTAAATAGAAATGTTTTGCATGTTTGGTGGTGTTTGTTTTTAACCCCTTCTATGCAAGCCATAGCACTGATTCGTTTTCAGCACCACACCCGGATTGTAGATGTAAACACACTGTTCTCTTTTATATTTCAATGCCTATTGGCTTTATAGATGTAAACAACAAACTCCCTCCTCTTTTTACTAAGCATGGCAAACTGCCCATGGGGACAAGACCTTTTTGGAAGAGCAGACTCCCTTTTTTTCAATTTATGAATTATCACAAAGTTGCCACTTTGAGATTTACTATTGAGCAAGGATGCAGAATCATAGATCCCTATTCCAGACCCCTTCTCAATGGAGATGGAGTAATAAACTTCATGTCACCAAGAATTCAACATGACTGATGTTTGTCATCTCATGGCTTAAAGGGACACTCCAGGCACCCAGACCACTTCTGCCCATTGGAGTGGTCTAGGTGCCAACTCCCACTACCCATAAACTGCAATATTTACCTTGCAGGGTTAACTCCTCCTCTAGTGGCTGTCTAATAGACAGCCATTAGAGGGCACTTCCGGGTTTATAGCACAGATCTGTGCTATAGCATCGCTGGACATCCTCACGCTATGTGAGGACCTCCAGCGTCGCTGAAATCCCCATAGGAAAGCATTGAATGCATTTTCAATGCTTTCCTATGGGGAGGTCTAATGCGCGTGCGTGGCATTGCGGTATAGCGAGTAGGGGCAGATCATTTACTAATACTAAGTAATTTTTACTCAATATTAGTAAATGTGGCTGGAAGACCAATTTTGGTCTTTCAGTAGATAACTCCCTGATACCGTGGGAATTAGGGAGTTATCTACTAAGCGGCTGCAAGATGCAGCCACAGCAAGAATAGGATCGGAGTTTCATTCATTCGAATGAAATTGCGATCTGAACAAAATGCCGAATTGAGTTCTAAAAGAAACGAACATGCTGTTCTCATTCAGTTAGAACGCAATTCGGCAGTTTCGTCTAAAATTACAGGAAGCATCGCGGGAACACAGTGGAAAGGTAAGAATTATGGGGAAATTGCTCTGACCAGCAGAAATGAAGCACACTTTGCTCCTCCGCTGGTCAGAGCTGGTCAAGCGGAGGAATCCTCCATAAGGCAAAGAGTCCCTACTTTGTCTTATGATTTTAAAGAAAACTAAAGAAGACAGGAAGAAAAGAAGAACAGATCCTGAGAGAGGGGGAGAAGAGGAAGAGATTGAGGAAAGGTAAGTTCGGCATGACAGTGCCGCTTTAGATATATTCTTGACTATTGTGTCTATTGTAGAAGTCAATTCATTAGTAACAACTTACAGGTAGTTACACTTCTATATACAAGCGATTACCGTATTTTATTGTATAAATCAATTTATTAGTAACCACTTACAGTTAGTTACATATACATATACAAGAGACTGTCTAGACTGCATAGAACCTTTCCTTTTTAAATTCACCAACACTGTGTGTTTCACCTATTTCATTAATTTTTGTCCTTAAAGAGATTTTTAAATAGAATTCAATAAACATAAGTTTTAAATTTTTACTCTATTCATACCCTATGAGTTATTTTCACTACTGTGGGTATACCTAGGGGGAGTGTTAGAGGAAAGGCAGGTCGCCCTTCACTCTTTCACCCTCTTAGGCAACCTTTCTCGTGTTGGCAGGGAGAGGGGACCTGGAGTGCCAGGAAAACGGTTTGTTTTCCTGGCACTGGAGAGTCTCTTTAACAAGATCTGCTAAATGTGAAAACAGTGCCAGGCCCATTATGCAAATGAAATCAACAGCAGTCACACTGAATTCTTAGTGTTATGAAGATCATTATTCTTTCTTATTTTAAGGAATATTTATCTTTACACAATATCATACTTTTTTTTTCGCTTTAAAAACCAAAAAGGAAAATCTTACATTCAATTGTATATAACAATGGTACAATCACAAATAATTGTGTTCCATTATAGTTTACTCTCTATCTGTTACTACTTTTATATTTTCATATAGTTTTTTTGTGTATCCGTTGAGGAATACAATATATGTTTCATATTTTTACACCCACTAATTATTTCCTTGCCCGAACTTGCATGGAGAAATCAGGTCTTTCCATGCCTCTGCTTACCGGTAATTGCTTTGTAGCCAAAAGGTCAAAATACATTTACAAATTGCTCTGAAAAAACCCTAATGTCTGCTGTCATTGTTAAGTTATAAGAACCTTAAAATCACTAGTTAGATAATTCCCTGCCCCAGAAGTAAGAAAACAAAGTAATTTTCTTATCTTTATTTCCCCATGTAAATGGAATAGGGGGTCTCAAGCTTGCTATAGCATTTGTCCCTTCTCTATTTCTGCATGGGCTCTACATAGCAACCTCTAGGTGTTCTTCTTTTTATTTTATTGTTATCTTTTATATAACTTCACAGGTAGATTTAAAGGTGAAGAAGGCTCTGCTCAACTGAGATTACAAGCAATGAGGTGGATCATTAGTTTTGCCCAAGGACACTTACTGACAAGGTGGTCTGAGATTTAAACCAGATCTAAGGCAATGATGTTACCATAATATATATATTAGGTCGGTTCAGGGCCGGACTGGCCCACTGGAATACCAGTGAGTGAGCTTGTCTGTGTGTGTGTGTGTTCCTGCTAGTGAGTGAGCTTGTCTGTGTGTGTGTGTGTGTGTATGCCTGCTAGTGAGTGAGCTTGTCTGTGTGTGTGTGCGCCTGCTTGTGAGTGAGCTTGTCTGTGTGTGTGTGCCTGCTAGTGAGTGAGCTTGTCTGTGTGCAGGGCCGGTGCAAGGATTTCTGGCGTCCTAGGCAAAAATCCATTTTGCCGCCCCTTCATGTCACTCACTGACAGACACACGCTGACACACATACACTCACTGACACACACACACACAGAAACTCACTGACAGACACACACTCACTGTCACTCACTGACACACACACACACTCACTGACAGACATACACTCACTCAATGACAGATAGGCAGACACTCGCTGACAGGCATATAATCACTCACTGACACACACACACAGGCACTTACTAACAGACAGACATACACTCACACACACACACACACACACACAATCACTGACAGACATACACTCACTAACTGACACACACAGAAATTCACTGACAGACATTCACTCACTGACACACACTCACACAGACACTCACTGACATACACTCACTGACAGACATAAACTCCCTCAGTGACAGACAGACAGACACACACACACTCACTCACTGACAGACAGACATATACTCACTCACTGAGAGACAGACACAGACACTCACTGACAGACACACATACCACTCACTGACAGACACTCACTGATACACACACACAGGCATACACTCAGTGACACACACACACTCACTGACAAACACTCAAACACTCACCTCCCTGGGATCCAGTGTGGGGCAGCTCCTCACTCCTCCCGCCTTCCGTTTAGTATGCCTGGAGCCTGGGATTTGATCGCACAGCAGGCACCTGTCATCAAGGTAAGAAGGTGCCTGCTCTGCCATACTGTGATAGGGCTCCTCAAAAGGTAGGAAACAGGAGGGTGGCTAAAAATATGTATTTTTTTTTTTCTGTATATCTGTCATGTGTGTATGTAAGTTTGTATGTTTTGTTTGTTTTGAGTGTATCAATAATATCACTTTGTGAATGTGTGAGTGTGTGTGTTTTTCTGTCTGTGTCAGTGTGTGTGTCTGTCCAGGTGTCTGTAATTAAATGTGTATGTTTAGGTCACCAACCCCCTCTGATCGCATGGGAATGATATTTTTACTCCTCTTTTTTCCAACACCGTGCCAGTCTCGCGAGAGCTGGCCTGCCTCTGTAGCTGAGATAAACAATTACCATACAACATCTCCTGATAGAGATGCATTAAATCAATTAAAAGCATCTCTATGGGGAATGTTTAGCGTCTCCATGCAAAAGAGCACAGAGATGCTGAATGTAGGGGCTGCAACTTCTGCAGCACTGAGAAAGGAGACACTTTAGTGGCCATCTGAGAGGCAGCCACTAGAGGTGCTAGAAGGCAGCAATGCAAAAACTGTACTTTTTATGAAGAGGCAGCGTTTACCTTAAAAAGTCTGCAGGGACAGGCTATATACACCAGAGCCATTACATTAAGTTGTAGTGGTTCTGGTGACTATAGTGTTCCTTTAAGAATTTTATTTATGTCATAGGGGGTGTACCTTACAGATCAGGTGATATTCAAATTGCTGATGTTACACGTTAGAAACAGTGCCTTAAAGAAACACTATAGGTTCATAGAAAAGCATTAGATTGGCTTGATAGTTAAAGAGGCAGAGCCAGCACAAGCCAAACACAGCTCAGTGTCTCCATGCAAAGGGTGTAGACATTCAATGTCAGAGCTGCACACTGCAACACTGCCCCAGGAAGCACCACTGTTAGCCATTTGAGGAGTGGCCAGTGGAGGCACCCCTAGGCTGCAATGTAAACACTGCCTTTTCTCTGTTTAAAAAGTCTAAAGGGACTGATTATACATGCACCCTTCAAGAGCCGCCTGACCAGCAAAACACACGTCGTGGCTCTAATTCTATTCCTCTTAATTGCCGTTTGATATTCCACCCTTCAGATATTTGTGATTCTTGGCTTGAGGAATATAGTGACTATTCTTTCTTTTTATAATATTGTATTAATAAAAGTAACGTTTAACTTGCATACGTATACGTTCAAGGAAATCTTTACCCTTCATATACTACTTTTACTCCTGGGGTTACCCACCACTAATTTCCTTAGAACTCTGTTTTTTGCTGTCTTTGTTTAATCTAAAAACAGGATGTGTTATAACTAAAATGACAACCCCTCTTCGCAGTCTTCTAGTGTACTAGACCCGACATGTGAGCTCATTTTAGCTACTGTGAACTCGTGAACTGAACACTAAACATTTAATGTATGTATGCATAGTAATAAACTTATGAAACTGATTCAAAAGTTTTATTTTGGTTTACAAAACACAAAGCACATTTTGCAGTAGTGGTAATATATATTTTAAAATGTGATTTTCCAAAAACTATAATGATACAGTAATAAAGTTAGAAATATGTAAAACAGAGTACATATCTAGCTGCATCCATGGTATTATAACTGTACAATATTGTAAAGCGTACCATAAGCTATATTTTCAGTTTGTGTAGTCCAGTAAACTTAATGTGAACTTTGCAAATCTCCATAATTGCAGTCGTTAACTGAGGCTCTATTAGGATATTATGAAACACACATTAAAGAGACACTTAAAGTACCAAAACCACTAGAGCTTATAGAAATGCTCTTCCTGCATTGTAATTTGTTAAAAACGGTAATCACAATTGACACCAAGGATGCCTGTAGTGGCTGTTGCTGAATGCATTGCATGTTTCTGTTATGTATGTTATGTTTGGTTTACATGCAACTAACTCTATGGTTTATTTTCTATTGCATGTGTTTCCTGTTGGGGTGTGTGCTTCCTTCCTGTATCTCCTGAAATATGGCTGCTATACATGAATACCGGGCAGTGTCTTTATTTATATCTCCTGAAACATGGTGTCAGAAGTATCTGAACCTGGTCTGCTCTCACACATTTGATGCCAGGAGCTTGCAAGTCTTGCAGTGAGAGATGTTTTGGAAGTGACTGTGCCTCCTGTAGCAATTACAGCTACTACTGTCCTGCAAGCTGAGCATTGGAAGCAAGAAAACCAGCATCATGGCAGCTGCTCATAGCATTCCACTACCCAAGGCAATGAGGGGGAGTGGGGATTGCAGGATAACTTCAGAGCTGAGTTTGGCTACAGGGCCTAGCTAAAGGGCTGAATGAGAAGCCTGCAGCAGTGAAAGCAGCCACACCGAGGACGGTGATGGGCAGTGAGTGCTACCATGTGTACAAGTATAATTTGAAGCTCGCAGAGGAGCAAAAGATACTAAAGCCATCCTTGATGCATTGGAAGCTTTCTTCAGACCTGCAAAAAGTGTAATATATGAAAGATATATATATATTTGGCAGCTGCAAGCAAGAAGAAGGTGAATGAATAGACAACTTTGTCACAAGGCTAAGAGAAAAGGTTGTGAGTATGGCTCCTTGAGAGATGAACTTATTCGTGACGAAATATTTCTAGGTATTAATACTGAAAGTACCCGCCGCCGCCTATTGAGGGAACATGATTTAAACCTACATGCTGCAATTGAGATATGTCGCACTGCAGAACTTACCGACAAACATATAAGAGCTATAGAGCAGGATAAACAGACTGACAGCATCCATGCAGCCTTCAAGCAACAGCTAAGCTTGAAGAACCACTAGCACACGCATCAATACAATAATCACCAAAGAACCTCACCTGTGAGCAAGTCTACATCATGTAAGTACTGTGGCAGTATTCATGTGAGCAAGAAACAACAGTGTCCTGCATATGGGAAGACCTGTAGATCATGTGGTAGGCTAAATCATTATGCTGGAGTATGTCTGTCAAGAAGAAAGGAAGCAAGGGAGCTAAACACAATTGAACAAATGTCTGATTCTGAGGAGGCACTCCTGCTTAGCAATGATGTGATTTACTCAAAGGAATGCATTGGTGCTGTAAAGTTTAAGGGCAAAAAATGGTTTGTAAATCTCAAAAAGAATAATATATGTCAACCCTGCCAGTTGGATTCTGGTGCAACATGTGATGTCATGAGTTTGAAAGACAAGATGAAACTGGCACCTAGGACACCACTTCAGCCTAGCAGCACCAAGCTGAAGCTATATTCAGGGGAACTAATGGAATCATTGGGACTTTTCCAAACAGAGTGCACCATACGTGAGCATATACACAAACTTGAATTTGAGATTGTTGAAGCCAATCACAAACCTCTATTGTCTGGTTCAGCATGTGAGCGCCTGGGACTGATGCAATTCTCAATTCCTGCTGAGCTGCACAATATTGATAATCAGGTTGCAAATCCATTGACTAGGCCACTGACAAAACTGAAAATCCTCAATGTCTATAATGATGTGCTTAGTGGCCCAATAGTATCTGTTCCACGAGGGGTTCATTATGAACTGGAACCTACCATTCCACCAGTACAATGTGCCCCACACAATGTACCAATAGCCATTAAGCCACAAGTAAAAGCGCAACTGGATAAGAATGAAGCTAACAGATATATTACATCAGTATCAGAGCCAACTGATTGGATAAGCAACATGGTAGTAATTAGAAAGCCTGACAAGATTAGAATTTGCATTGATCCGAAGTTTCTTAACATCAGGTCACACTACAAAATGCCAACACTTGAGGATGTTTTGCACAAACTGCCCAAAGCACAGGTTTTTACACTTGTTGATGCAAGAGATGACTTTCTACAGTGAAGACTGTTTAAAAGGGTAGCTACATGACCACTTTCTGGAGGCCGAAAGAGATGGCTCAAGCTGCCAGAAGTATATCACCGAAACCAGCATGAACTGTTAAGTGGGCTCCACAGAACTGAACCAATAGCAGATGACATTCTTATAATTGGCTGTGGTAATACAAATGAGGAAGCTGAGCATGACCATGATGAGAAACTAGTAGCATTATTGGATCACTGCAGGCAGGTAATGCTGAGACTCAGCGTAAAGAAATTACAATTCATGGTATAAGAAGTCCGCTTCCATGGACATATCCTGTCTCAACAAGACTTGAAAGCTGACCCAGATAAGATTAGAATCAAATATGGATATGCCATTGCCTGGTGACACCAAAGCAGTGCAGCGTTTTATTGGCTTTGTCACATACCTAGCAAAATTCATGCCGCATTTGTCTTAGGTGTGTGAGCCATTGAGAAGGTTTCTAGACAAAGATGCATTTGGCATTGACTTCCAAGCATGACCAGGCAGTGGAGGAAATAAAATGCTTGATCACAGCTGAAATAATACAATGTAAAAAAGCCTGTTGCAATACAAAGCGACTCAAGCAAAAATGGCCTAGGATATGTTTATTGCAAGAAGGTCAGCCAGTTGCATTAGCGTCCACAGCACTCTCTTCAGCTGAGCAAAATTATGCTCAAATTGAAAAGGAATGTTTAAGCATTGTTTTTGCCTGTCAGTGCTTCCATCATTATCTCTATGGCCGGAATGCAATCATAGCTGAAACTGATCACAAACCGCTAATAGCCATATTCAAGAAGCCGCTTTTATGTGCTCCAAAGCGTTTGCAGAGCATGATTCTTACATACAGAATTACAACATCAATGTTGTGTACAAGCCAGGATGTAAAATGTACACCAGTAACACCCTAAGCAGAGCTACAACGGAACATGTGGCACCTGAAGGTGATCATGAGCATCTTGCAGTTTGTTTGTTGCAGCAGCAACAGAATTTATTTGCCAAAGTCAAGCAAGCAGACTATCTTAATGTCACAGATCAGCTACATCAGCTCATACAGCACACAGAAAGTGATGCAACTTTGCAAGTACTGAAGTCTATAGTTCTGATGAGGTGGCCAGATGAAAAGGATGTAACACCTGCAATTGCGAAGGAATATTGGTCCTTCAGAGATGAGGTCAGCATACAAAATGGTATCTTGTACAACGGTGCAAGGGTCATAGTGCCAAAGTCACTGAGAGCAGAGATCGGAGGCAAGATTTGCTACAGACAAGCTCATGATACTCTTTACTGGCCCAACATGCAAGTTGAAATCAAAGACTTTGTAAACAATTGTCCCACTTGCAATGAATATGCACACTTGCAACAAAAATAAACCATGATGTCCCATGAGATACCTACACATCCTAGGCAGATTGTCAGCATGGACTTATTAAACTATGCTGGAAAATAGTACCTGCACTCAGACTTCTGGGAAACTGATGTGCTTCCTCACCTGTCCACTGAAACTACAATTAAGCGATGCAAGCTGCAATTTGCATGTCATGGCCAACCAGCTAAAGTGATTTCTGATAATGATCCTCAGTTTGCAAGCTTACATTTCAGGACATTTGCTACTGAATGGGAGTTTGAGCATGTGACTTCTTCACCATGCCATCCACAAGCTAATGGCAAAGCTGAATCTGCTGTGAAAATACTGTAGTGAAGAATAATAAATAATAAAAAAAAAGTGATGATAAAGACCTCGTGGAAAGCCATCTTACATTGGAGAAACACTCCAACTGAGGGTATGGATAGTAGTCCTGCACAGAGACTGATGTCAAAGAGGTTCAAGTAGCCAACAAGCTACTTGAACCAGAAAAGTTGTACCAGAAATGTTATGACTTAAGAGGTGTACCAGAAAAGGTATAAGGTGATATAAGGTGTATCAGAAAGGTTACGACTTAAGAGGCAAGTGTTCAAGGCAAGATATGACTAATCTGCTAGGGATTTACCTGAACTGAATATTGGGGAACAAATCCATATGAAACCGCTTCCTGGAGATCTAACAAGTCGCTGGAGAATGGGAACCTGTCTGCAGATCTGACGCAATCGTGTGGATCTGCGAGTGGTCGAGAAGCCTGATTCACAATATCCAGTTGACAAGCCAGACACACCTGGTATTCCAAGGACACACTCATATGTCGGAAGTAAAGAGTGTACAGAAGTGATATCACAGACTAATGACAGCCCTAAGTAAGCAGGACCTGAAAGCAGTCAAGGAGAGAGAGTGTGTTTGTATTTGTACTAATTATTTATAGTGGTGGAACCCTTTTGTTTAAAAAAAAAAAAAAAAATCCCCAAACTAAACTATTCCCAGGGAAACCTAATCTCTGGTGGTCCGGTGGGAGATGTAGCATGTCTGCACCTCCAGCTCCTTCTTGCCAGTACAGGGAAATATGTCACAGCATTGCTATGGTATTCCGCAGTAACGCTCAGATACAGTACAGGCGAGCAAGACCGCTAAAGGTGTCTCTATTAGTACACCAGTCCTTCAGGCACCACAGCAGGAGAATGGGCTGGCTGGCTTTGATCTCACCACCGTACTTGCTGCCCCTGTCCTCTCCACTGTAATTTATAGGATTTGAACCCCCATCCCTGTGCTCTTTACTCCATTGTTAAAAAATAATATTTTTTGGATGTTAGAGTGCTCTTTACTGCATATAGACAGGGCCGGTGCCACTGTTAGGCGAACTAGGCATTCGCCTAGGGCGCCGGCCTGCTGGGGTGCACACCGGAATGCTTCCTGCCCTGTCTGGATCCACAGCGCTGGACGAGCGGCTGCCCTCCCCAGCGCCGGGCCTATCCTCAAGGTGCCCAAAGGTGGGGGCATTGTGATGATCCCTGTCACAGGGGGGCCAGTAGGAAGTCATCTGGCCACCTCAGGTCGCCCCCGAAGCTGTGCGCTAGGTAAGTCAGAGCAGGCACCTGCTTACCTTAATGGCAGGTGCCTGCTTTGCCAACAAATCCCAGTGGGCGGAGAAGGCAAGCGATGAGGGAGGCTGTTCTTGCAGTCTCTCACTCCTCTCTTGCGCGCCCTCTGTGATGCCGGGAGCCGGAATATGACGTCTTTCCGGCCCCGGCATACTAAACAGCGCACTGGAGGAGTGAGGAGATGCCCCACACTGGACTTCAGGGAAGTGAGTGTTTGAGTATTTGGCTGTAAGTGAGAGTGTGTGTGAGTGTCTGTCTGCCTGTGTGTGTGTGTGAGTGTTTGACTGTCAGTGTGTGTGTCTGCCTGTGTGTGAGTATGTATGTCAGTGAGTGTTTGTGAGTGTATGTCTGATAGTGAGAGTGAGTGTGTGTATGTCTGTCAGTGAGAGTGTGTGTGTGTCTGTCAGTGAGTGTGTGTGTCGGTCAGTGAGTGTGTGTGTCGGTCAGTGAGTGTGTGAATGTCTGTCTGTCTGTCAGTGATTGTGTGTTTGTCTGTCAGTGAGTGAATGTGTGTCTGCCTGTGAATAAATGTGTCTGCCAGTGTGTGTCTGTCAGTGAGTGAGTGAATGTCTGTCTGTCTGTGATTGTGTGTTTGTCTGTCAGTGAGTGAATGTGTGTCTGCCTGTGAGTAAATGTGTCTGCCAGTGTGTGTCTGTCAGTGAGTAAGTGACATGAGGAGGGCGACAAAATGGATCTTTGCCTGGGGAGGCAGAAATCCTTGAACCAGCCCTGCATATAGATTACTGTGGCCATAAAAAGCCAGAACACTTATATGGTATAGTCTCCTCTCCACAGTCACTCCATGTCTGATGAAATGTGTCCAACCCAGTGCTTCTAATACAGAAGCATTAGGGACATGTGCAGCAATTGCCATGCTCTATCATTCCACTGCGTTTTAAAGATAAGCTATGAGAAGCACTAGTTGCATTTGGTTCCATCTTGTGGCGTGTGATGGTATTGAACGTGAAGATCATAAAAAATGAAAATAAACGCCTGACAGCCACTAGAGTTGTGGTTTACGCAAAATGCATTGTAGTTTCTCAGAAATGGCAATATTTTACATTGTCATAGAAAAGGGACAGGGTCTCTGAATCAAAACTACTTACCGTATATACTCGAGTATAAGTCGACCCGAATATAAGTCGAGACCTCTAATTTTACCCCAAAAAATTGGGAAAACTTATTGACTCGAGACTGGGGTGGGAAATGCAGCAGCTACTGGTAAATTTCTAAATAAAATTATATCCCCCAAAAATTATATTAATTGAATATTTATTTACAGTGTGTGTATATAATGAATGCAGTGTGTGTGTGTGTATATAATGCAATGTGTTTGTATGAATGCGGTGTGTGTGTGTGTGTATGAGTGCAGTGTGTGTGTCTATGAATGCAGTGTGTGTATGAGTGCAGTGTGTGTGTGTGTATATGAGTGCAGTGTGTGTGTGATGCAGAGCCTTGGTGGGGGGTGGGCATTTTTATAAATTTTTTAAAAATTATTATTTTAATATTAAATTAATTTTTTTTATATATTATTATTTTATTATTATTTAAATCTTTATTTATATTTATTTTTGTCCCCCCTCCCTGCTTGTTAGCTGGCCAGGGAGGGGGGCTTTCATTCCCTGGTGGTCCAGTGGGGTACACTGTGTAGGAGGGGGGCTGGCAGCGAGCTGTAACTTACCTTTCCTGCAGCTCCTGTCAGCTCCCCTGTAAGTCTCGTGGTGTGAGTGCCGCGCGGAGCGTTGCCACGGTAACCCATGGCAACGCTCTGACCCCGCAGCTCTCGCAAAACTTGCAGGGGAGCTGACCGGACCGGAGGAGAGAGAAGGGAGCTGACAGGAGCTGCAGGAAAGGTAAGAAAACACTTCCTGCCAGCCTCCAACAGGACCGCCGGGCTTGTAATGAGCCCAGCGGTCCTTGTCTGTATTATGGCAATGTACGTTGCCATAATACAGACAGTGACTCGAGTATAAGACGAGTGGGGGTTTTTTAGCACAAAAAATTTGCTGAAAAACTCGTCTTATACTCGAGTATATACGGTAATTAAAACAAAGTGGTTTTAATGCTTAGTGTCCCTTTTAAGCTAAGCATACGTTTTGCATACTATAAAACATTAAAATTGGTTAAAACTGCAAATTATTCACCCCGTGACTTCATTTTATGTAGAAAGCAAAATGTAGAAAGTCCTTGCACTCACGCTTAGTAGACTGTTTGCCGGGTGCTTCAAATCCAGGAAAATTCTAATATATATATAGATAGTGATCAGCACTCACGGACTTGTGAAGATTAAAACATACAGTTTATTGATAATCCATTAAAAATAAGATCGACGTTTCAGTCCCAGCAGGGACTTTCATCAGGATCAGGCATATATATATGTGTGTGTGTTTTTGTGTGTATATATATATATATATATATATATTAGGCATATATTTTTTTATTTGATAGACCTCACATGCAGAGTTAACATTCTGAATTTTAGTGATTAAAATCTAAATGGCAGCATGTATGTTAAAATAGCCAAACTGTGCTTATTACAGTTTGGGATTTTAAAAAATATATATTTTTGCATACATTTTGCCATTTTAAATATAATTAAATAAAATTTGGAGTCCAGTGAATAACCCTATATGTGTATTTTTTTGTCATTGAAGGCTTCAAATTCTTTTGTTCTTATTACATTGAAAGATGCCAGGACCAGGGTCTTACCGAGTAGCACTAGATTGTGCTTGTCTTGAGTCTAAGAGAGCAGTCATAACCAAATCTGGACCAAGGCGCACTACAATAAAAGAAAGGTTTGTAGTGGAAATCTATTTCTGTTGCTTTTTATCTTCTTCACCAATTTATAAATGTCACATTTACTTGGTCTTATTAATAAACATATGCAGACTTCCAGACAAATTCACTAATTTTAATTGGCAGACATAGATGTAAATTTTAATGCAGATATTTGTGTGTGTGTGTGTATGTATATGTATGTATGTGTATATATATATATATATATATATATACACACACACACACTTTTTTTTTAAACTGCACTCAACCTATTATAGTCCTGAAGACACTTAGATTGTGGTTTCCCCACTATTTTGTTTGGCACTTGGAGCATAATGTCTAAATAATATGTTATGTGCTATAAACAAAAAAGAGCCAGCATTTGAAACTGTGGCACATTCCTTAAGAACATTTTTGTATATGATAGAAATCAGTAGGACTAATTCACTAAACCGCGAGTTGTAGGGAAATGGCAAGGGAATTGCACACACACCTAAAACTATATATATATTTTTTTAAATCACCTGTTACATTGCTGTGAAAAAAGTAATGCATTTCCATCTGTAAATGCTATAATTGTACTATAGTGGTAATATGTCATGGAAATGTGTACTCCAGTAAACCTTTTTACACCAATATTTTACGAGTGTGCAGCAATCGAAAATAGAAGCATATCTTATTCTATTAATGATTTCAGATCAGGGACATTTTTGATTTCCAGGTCCAGTAACATCTGCCCAAATGCCTTTCCCTGAAAAAAAGCACAAGAACATTATGAACATGATTTATATTTTATTGCAAATTCAATTACAGCTTTCGAACAGTTATCCTTATTGGAGCAATTCTAACAGCAAAAGTTATAGACAAGTGTGAAAAATATTGTAATCATAGAAACATCCATATATAATATAGATAAAATAGGCACAACCATATGAAGTGGAATCAATTGAATAAAACTCTAGTATGCAGCACCCGCTATAAAACTTGGTAATTAGGTGCAGATAATAAATAACAAAAAGTGCTGGTGCACAGAATTAAAAAAAAAAAACACCTCAAGTGTTAAAGGAGCACTATAGTGCCAGGAAATCAAACTAGTTTTTCTGGCATTATAGTGTTAATAGGTCCGCCCCACCCTCATGGCCCCCCTCCCGCCGGGGTCTAGGTGTCTATAGTGGTCCTTTAATATATATTATAAAGTGCTTTTAAAGTACATACACAAGTGGAACTGGTGTTATCTCATATTAAAAACACACAAAATACACACACATGCATATACTTATAACCTGTAAAATATGCATTGTTAATATCTGCAAAAAGGAGACAAAAAAGGGGGGACAAAAGAAGCACTCCTAGTGCAATAAAGTAGAAACATAGAATGTGATGGCAGATAAGAACCATTCGGCCCATCTAGTCTGCCCGGTTTTCCAAATACTTTCATTAGTCCCTGGCCTTATCTTATAGCTAGGATAGCCTTGTGCCTATCCCACACGTGCTTAAACTCCTTCACAGTGTTAACCTCTACCACTTCAGCTGAAAGGCTATTCCATGCATCCACTACCCTCTCAGTAAAGTAATACTTCCTGATATTATTTTTAAACCTTTGCCCCTCCAATTTAAGACTATGTGCTCTTGTTGTGGTAGTTTTTATTCTTTTAAATATAGTCTCCTCCTTTACTGTGTTGATCCATTTATGTATTTAAATGTTTATATCATATCCCCCCGTCTCATCTTTCCTCCAAGTTATACATGTTAAGTTCCTTTAGCCTTTCCTTGTAAGTTTAAGCCTGCAATCCATGAACCAGTTTAGTAGCCCTACTCTGAACTCTCTCTAAAGTATCAATATCATTATGGAGATACGGTCTCCAGTACTGCGTACAATACTCCAAGTGAGGTCTCACCAGTGTTCTGTACAATGCAGTGGCGGATCCAGAGCCTGATCTCGGGAGGGGCACTTGTAGATTATTTAATTAAATAATCCAGGCACAATAACCACTACAGCTCAGTGTAGTAGTTATAGTGTCAGTAGTGCCAGGATTCCACCCCAGAGTAAGTAGTTATACCGTTTAAGAACAGTTTGACAACTTACCTGGGGTCTGCTGGGATATAGGGTATAGGAGCAGTGGTGTGTGTTAAGGGTGAAGTGTGTGAGTGCGGCCGTGTATGTCAGGGTTGTAGTGTGTGTGTGTTAGGGGGCATTGTATGTGTTTTTGGGGCTGTGTATGGGGACAGTGTTTGTGGGGCAGTGTGTGTGTATGGGGGGCAGTGTGTGTATGGGGGCAGTGTGTGTTTATGGGGGGCAGTGTGTTTATAAAGGTGTGTGTGTATGGGGACAGTGTTTCAGGGGCAGTGTGTGTATGGGGACAGTGTTTGGGGCAGTGTGTGTGTATGGAGGACAGTGTTCTTGTCGGCAGTGTGTGTATGGGGGACAGTGTTTGTGGGCAGTGTGTGTGTATGGGGGGCAGTGTGTTTGTGGGCAGTGTGTGTATGGGGCAGTGTGTGTATGGGGGGCAGTGTGTAAAAGGGGACAGTGTGTGTATGGGGACAGTGTTTGTGGGGCAGTGTGTGTGTATGGGGAGCCAGTGTTTGTGTGGGGCAGTGGGTGTATGGGGACAGTGTTTGTGGGGCAGTGTGTGTGTATATGGGGGCAGGTGTATGGGGGACAGTGTTTCAGGGGGCAGTGTGTGTATGGGGACAGTGGCTTGGGGATTGCGTATGGGGGGGCAGTGTGTGTAATGGGGCAGTGTGTGTAATGGGGGGGCAGTGTGTGTGTAATGGGGGCAGTGTGTGTAATGGGGGACAGGAGGCTTTTTAATAATAATTTTTTTATTTATTTAATAAAATAAATATTCTATGTCCCTCCTCCCTTCTTACCTTTATTTAGGAGGAGGGGGGACATTTCCCTGGTGGTCCGGTGGGGGATTCATTGGTGGTCAGGTGGTGAGAGTGAACTCTAGCCCACGCTCCCGGGCTAGAGTTCACTCTCGCGAGATTTGGAGCGTTGCCGTGGTAACCGCGGCAACGCTCCAAATCTCGAGAGAGGAGTACAAGGAGGAGCTGCAGACTGAGGTCAAGGGTCAAGAATACATAATGTTTTAATTACATGTGTAACAAAAACGACAGATTAAGGTCACAAGGCCTAACATATCAGGTGTAATATCCAACAAGCTGGCACAAACATTCCTTTTTGTAGCACAAATCAGCGCAAACAGATCACAAATGAATAATATAGTTGTATGTAAGATTTAATAACATGGGGGGCAAAGTCATAACATATAGTGTGCAATATCTCCGAAGCCAAATCAGTACAAATGTTTATTTAGTAGCACAAATCAGCACAAACAAATGTTTAATAATGTTGATGCAAAGTAGTTGATGTGCAATGTCTTCAATATTTAGGGTGCAAAGTGGTTGGGGTTTCATAAAAAATAACATGCATTATTTTGTTAACCAACTGGCAAAAATATATATTTCTGCAGCACAAACAAATGGTATATTTTTTCTCAAAAAAAATTAATTACATGTTGTGGACAGGCTCTGATCACATATATTCCTGGCTAATCATGGCAGCATCACTTATGGGTAGCTCCTCCCTTAGCAGTCACAGGACAGGAATTGCAGGGTGTTGTGATTAGTGTGCATAGACAAAGTAATTTAACTCCTAAATAGCAGATAGTTGATCAGTGAGACATGATCTATACACCAAAACTGCTTCATTAAGCTAAAGTTGTTTTGGTGACTATAGTGTTCCATTAATGGTGTCCCTATTCCACTTTGTTTTTGTATTGCCCATGTTTAATGATATGGTGGTAATACTAAGAAACACCATTAGAAAATTGTCATAGTTAATTTTGATGTTCGGGGAAAAAAAGCAAATTTTTAACAGCAATGGTTTAAATGTATAAATAAAACTGTGCATTAATGTGCTCTCTTCAAGCTAATCAGAATCAAGATGTTTTGGAAAGCATTCTAATTTTCTACAGTGTAATCAAGTTGTATAATTTGAAATTGTCATAGGATTTGTCCAGATGAGGAAGAAACAATATACCTGCATATTTATCTATCTTTCTAAATTAGCCTCCAAAGTGATTCCCCTGATATCTTGTTAAATTAGAAAGGGCCTGTTTGCTTTTAGTAACACATGACCTCCTATTAGTATCAATTATGAAGTACTACATATGCAACAGTGTGATCACTCATAAATGTATGTTAAGTTCTTACCTACAAAGAAAATTGCTCACATACAGTATTTTCACCTGTGACTGTATTAGGTTAACTCCTTAAAGATTGAGGCAATTGTCCAAACCTAATATTTCAGCTATTTGTTTGTTCCACCATAATTTAAGAGTTTCTGTTTAAGTGTACCAATACATATTGTATTGAAGACCACAACAACTATTGTATTTACTGCAGCCAGCAATTAACCCTAAGCGCCAGAGAGATCATTGTAAATGTTACATAATATACTCGCCGAGGTGTAAGAAACTGGGAGAAAGCTCTATAGTAATATGTGCAGGAGTCGAAGAGCACCTTAGGATCCAACAGAAAAATATCAGCTAAGAAAATCTTTTTTTTTCTGGGGGGTTTTGATGCTCTTGCTGTGTTTTTTCCCTTCTTTTGGTCATACACTTAATCATTTATGTACTGATATGATCTGGTGACTAATTTGATTAGTAATAATTAAGGGGCTTCTCTTTTTTTTTTTCTTGACCATCTAAAACAGGTGAAGTCTCTCTAAGACGATTAAAATATATCAAGGAAATCTAAGTAATCCTTTTAATTGATTGAGGTAATCTAACCAATGCTTACAATTAATTAAATGAGTGTGGAGGGGAGTGGATTCCTTATCTATAGAGTTAACTGAATACATTAAAGGGAGAGAATAACTTTAAATAACCAATATAAATCTACCTGTTATAATTAAGATTTATATGAAAATGATCTGCTGAATTATTTGCTGAAAGGTGATAAAGTGAACAGAAGTGCATATCCTGGTTCTTGGCGATATAATTGTAGGGGGGTTAGAGAAGTTTGGATAGAATAAGTTATAAAATCGATAATAAGATAAGATCTTAATTTTATATATATACATTTATTTATTTTTATTATCTTTCTCAGTTGCTGCCCTAAAAAGCTGCAGCTGCATGATTTTTATTTTATTTTTATTTTTAAACAAAATTTTACAACTACTGAAAAGAGAAGAAAACTAATTAAGTGGATCTGGCATAGGTCTCCCCACAGCTGACAGACCATTAGGGGGCATTAGAGAATCAGTTCCAGCCGCCTGAACCTTCGCCTTAACCTTCTCTAATACTTACATTTATTAAACTAAAGTAACACCCCCCCCCTTTAGGGGAGTAGACCGATGGGAAAGAAAGCAAAATAACATAAGCAACCATCTAAAAGTGGTAACCATACTCCCTTGGTCTAGGAAAGAGAATAAAAATATAATAACAAAGAAGTAAGGGAAGAGTCGAGAGAGGAGTAAGGAGGAGTAAATAAGAGGATTTAGAAGTTACCCGTATATAATTCTGATATTGAAATACACCGATTGATAAATTAAACGGAAATTTATTCATTTATTATTATTTTTTTTCGGGCTGTTTGACAAATAAGCCCGAGCTGCATGACCTTGTACTGAAATTTTATCAGTACTTATGTTTTGGTAAAGAAAGGGGAAAAAATGGAAAGGAGGAAGGTAGTGAGAGGGGAAGGAAAAAAGGATCAAAGTAATCATCTGTGTTAGATACACCTCTGTGTTTGAAGAAAGCGAATATTCGGAAAAAGGACAGATTTTGTAAATGGCTACTAAAAAATCTAAC